ACAAATTCTTTGAACTAATTGCATATGTAAGTAAAGTTCGAAGTAAATAATACAATATACAAAAATACAAAATAAAATAATACTGTAAATAATACAATTTACTAGATGAGTTCTCAGGAAATTTTTCTTCTCCATTGGGGCATTTAAATTGTGGAATTCCTTGTCTGAATACTCAATGAGACTCTTAGACGATATAAGATGGTAAAATTAATCAAACATTTTTTTATTTATTCATATGAAAAGAAGGATAACCCACTAGCTTAAAGCTCAACTATTAGTTATATTGATATGAATTACACCCAGGTAATAAGCAAACCATCAGAAAATTGTATGTGGGTTGTATTTTTCCAATACATTGATTTGTTTTGTTTTTATAGAAGGTTATGCTGAATTACCTAAGATTGGTACTACAATTAGTAGTAGAAAGTTTTTATTGAAACAAGTAACAACTTTAATTTTATATTATAAATATTGAGATTTATATATCTATCTCAACAACAAGTAATATTTTTATTAATATATATTATATATGCCAAAAACCTGTGTTATTTTACCAGGATATTTCTGTGAAAGTTAGTGCTATTTTGTCTATGTTCTCACAGGAAAACAAGAGAGGATTTTTTTTACACCAGGAATAAGGAAAATCATCCTTCTTTTCATATGAATAAATGAACAAATGTTTGATTAATTTTGTTAGGAAAATATAAAGTTTATCCAGACTATATATAAAACAGTTACAAATGTTTATTCCGATTTAATTTTCGCTACGAAACAATGAATTGTTGGGATTTTTCTTTTGCCATACTATAAAAATACAATCAATTATGCATATGATATGTGATTTGTAGACTCATAGGACTGGAAGGGACCTTGAGAGGTCATCTAGTCCAGTCCCCTGCCTCATGGCAGGACTAAGTAAAAATCTCCAATGATGGAGATTCCACAACTTCCCTAGGCTATTTATTCCAGTGCTTAACCATCCTAAAAGTTAGGAAGTTTTTCCTAACGTCCAACCTAAACTTCTAAGGTAGGACAAGAAGCAGTGGGCTTAAATTGCAGCAAGGGAAGTTAAGAAAAACAATTCTTCTCCCTCCTCCTTGTAACAACCTTTTACATAATTGAAAACGGTTATCATGTCCCCCTTCGGTCTTCTCTTTTCCAGACTAAACAATCCCAATGTTTTCAATCTTCCCTCATAGGTCATGTTTTCTAGACCTTTAATCATTTTTGTTGCTCTTCTCTGGACTTTCTCCAATTTGTCCACATCCTTCCTGAAATGTGGCCCCCAGAACTGGACACAGTACTCCAGTCTATATAAGTATCTTATATAAAAGTCTATATAAGAATTTTTTACATAGCATACTATCTATAATAAAATATTATCTTGTGCCCTCCAAACCCAGCGAGCAGAAATTCCCAGTCTTTTTTTGAGGCAGACATCTCTTTTCGCATTCGCTTCTCTATCCTCTGTCTCCCCAGGACCACTAATTAATCTCGAGTAAACACCTCGGAGACACAGAGTGACAACAAGCTATACACGTGAAAGAGAAAGAATTTACCAGAAAAATGACTGGTAATCTCTAGACAGGCATTGAGAAAATGAGAAAAGCTAGCCTATATTCAAGCAAATATGACGACTATTATAGGCTTTAATAGCCTATAAATCATATATGCACATAGTTTGAAATAACTTGCTCACTAAGTACTCAGAATATTTTGATATATATGTACATCTTCCTTCACTTCTCTCAAAACCCTCTATTTATCCTTTCGTCAGCACTCTCCGATATTTACTGTGAAGTTCCTGAAACTGACGGAGAAAAGCCAACACAAATTTATCCTCCTCAAGATCCACTTGACTCAAGTCCATAAGACAATCATCTGCAAACTCAATCATGTGAAGCACAGATAGCGCATGAAGCAGAAAGTGGCGTGTGCACTAAAATACACAATTGTACGTATGTACAGATCAAAAGAAGAAAGAACACGCTAACATACAAGCATGAGTTTGGCAGGATTGCTTCACGACACTGCCATCTCTGACCTCACATTTTTCCCGATTTTATCAGCAGTGAGATTTATCTATTTAAATAAGTTATGAAGGCACGGTCAGAATTTTACCAGTAGCAGCTGGCCAACAAAACACTGCCTTAGGAGATCGATAGCAGACTTACTCATAGAAACACTAATTTTACAAGTGCAATTATTGTTTTTTTCTCAGCCCCGGCCTCCCGCCTGTCAGTAATGAACAATTAGGGAAGGAAGGGTAGGGTAAGGGTATTTGTGTAGCCAGATGTGTATATTTGTCATATTTGAATGAAAATGTCTATATTTAGAGAGAATCTTCTTTTTCCCATATCACCTTGATTTATCAACCGATTTTATAAAATTTGAAATTGAGTCATTTTTTTCTTTTTTAGAGGCCCCTCATATTGCGAGGCCCTAAACTGTAGCTTAATTAGCTTATACCTTAATCCAGCACTGGTTCCAGCACAGCACTAAATGGGAGTGAGAAGGGCTGCTATCCCTGAGCTGCCTTCTCATGGGCTTCCACGCACTGCATAGGCAGCAGTTCAACTGAGGGAGCAGATTCCAGAGCAAGTGGAGGGGCGGCCTCTGCTGGCAACAGCTAGAACTGCAGCTCAACCTGCCAGTGCCTGCCTCTGGTGGTTCCATCCAGAACTGCAGCATCAATTATAGCTCAGGCAAAAATGTTGAGTTGCCAGGATCTTCCCATGAGATTGAAATAGACCAGTATTCATGCTGCAAAGTTGCTGGACTCATCAAAATACCAAAAGAGCTGGCAACACAGCTGCCACCCCACCATCCTAGCTACACATCTCCTCTCCAATTCCCTCTAATCCACTTCTGTGGGTCTCCCTCAATTTCCCGCTACCCCCCTCAACAAACATCTCCCCACTCTGGGCCCCCTCACCCCAATACCTCTGCCTGCCACCCCCAGGCTCCTCTATTCCTCCACATCTTTGCATGTTCCCACCAACCTCGGGGTTCACTCACTTGCTACAGTACCCTTCCCTGTGATTACTTTCCACTTAAGCACTCAAGTTTTCTTGAACAACTCAACAGAATCAATTTCCCTCTCAGTCCTCAACAGTCCTGCATCAATTCCCTGTCCTCTTGCCTAAATCTGCCCTATCTTTCCAGAGTTGTCATCTTTTTGAGTTCCTTGAACCAGTACATTCAGAGTCCCAGTACATGTCACTGTGTGTGTCCAGAAGTAGGTCTTCCCTACTTGATTTGCTCCTTGGCCCTTTGTTTCATAAGGGTTTCATCACTGGGACTCATCTGCCTTTCCACCACTGTTCAGAGAAGTCCATAGCACTGACATGGCGATTACAGTGAAAAAGATGAAATTACCACAATTAACCACAGAAATACTGTAAGATAATAATTTCAGTTCACTTTTCAATTCCAATGCCCTCTCTCCATGGCCTAGAACTTTTAAGGACCTCTAATCAAAATTAGCACATAATTATAGGGGTAATTGGGAGTGCTACATTGTTATTAGAAAGTGATCCTTGAAGGTGGGAAAAAACAAAGGGACAGTTGGTGGTGAGTGTAACAGGACTAAAAGATTAATGCAAGCCTCAGAAGAAAAAAAAAAAAAACCCTAGCCAGTTTGCAGAACATACCTGCAAGGGAGAGAGGGGAAAGATTGATAAATTCGTACTAGAGAACCCATTGTACTAGGTGCTGTACAAACACAGAGCCTGTCTATATGGGAAAGTTTTGACAGTTATACTGATACAGCTATACCAGTATAGCCCACTCATGTGGACACTCCTATTCCAGTAGAAGAGTGGCTTTTTTGGTTTAGATTAAACCCACCAAGAGAGAGAAACTAAACCAAAAAAAAGGTACTCATACCAGAATAAGAGTGTCCAGAAAGCTTTGGGCAGGTTAACACCAGTTTAAATTAATATCTTAGACTATAAAAAACAAACCAAAAAACCCCCTCAAAAACTTTCCTGAGTAGGCAAGGCCTTCAACCAGGTGCAGGAAGCCCACAAATCCAGAGGGAAGAGAGACAATTTCCAAGAAATGGAGGAGAAAGAAGCGATGAGAACAGAAAAGACAGATCCAAGAAAAAAGGAGAAGTAGCAGATAACTGTTTATATATGAGATAGCACAGTAATTTGAATATATGCAATATTGCTCTAATTTAGATCAGTTGGAGCCAAAAGAAATTCTCTCAGCCCATCCTATAATTTTTGAACTTCTTCCATTTGAAGAAGTGTGGAGGGAAGGCTTTGGCCTGGCAGGGACTTTCCAGTGACAAATTAAATGAATGCAATAATACAAATAAAATAAGAATGTATTTACTGGAAAAAAGATGACATGTTTTGACCTGAAACATCTAAAAAATAACATTGTCAGCTTAGACACTTGTCTGCTTTTCCCCTGTACTGATGTTTTAACTGTAAGATTATTATATTTTAAAAAGATTAGAGGGGAAAAAATCGTCAGTTTAATTTGTGCATTGGACAGCACTTCATATAGTCAGATTCACTACTTCCTTGCATTGTTAAGTAAATTTTTCCTGTTTTTCACACAGCAGGAGAGCACAGAGAATATGATTAGTTCAAACATACAAGAGTTATTGAAAAGTCACAAGAATTGGCAAAGAGATATATTGGCAGGTGTAGAAAATAGTTTTAACTTTCTTTTTTAAATAGACTAAGTTTCACATTTGCTGGATTACTTTAAAAATGTGTTCTTCACCATGTAGGTCTGTTTTCATAAAAGTGAACATACTTCTGTTGGTTTCTTGAAATAACTGACCACAGTGCATATTCAAAAGAAGTCTCAATAAAGATTACTAAAAAGAATAGTCCATCCTATTATTTCACATGACAAAAATGACAGCTGTCATCAATTATGCTAAGTGCAGCCATTTTCACCACGCTCACATTCCATGCTAAAAAATTTGGTTTTAATAGTTATTTCCTCTTTTGTATAATTCAGACAAGAACACTTACCTTTATGGTAACATTTCCTTTTGTTATTTTTCTCATATTGAAGCCTACTGTAGGAATCATATCTTCTGTGAACTGCCCTGACTAAAAAAAAAAAAAAAAGGTTATAATTAATATAACTAATTAAGAACTAATACATTCAGCATTTGTAGTCTAAATAATCTTTCATTTTCACAACATAAATTGAGAATTATGTAAATTATTTAAAATAACATGAACCAATGCTTTGATTAAAACACTGTCTTGCCATTGTGAGAAAACTGACTCATGTCTGGCCTCTTGTTCCTAGACGGATTATCCTGAGTAGTCAAAGAAACTCTCAACACGCTTCATCTGGTTCCTTTAGCTAATCTGGGGGCAGCATTGTTGGATTACTATGAGGCCTTGACAACACTAGGATGTTTCTCCTAAAATTCCTCACCAATGCTACCATGGGTTCAGCTCCACCAAAGGTAACAACGGTGAAAGTGGGTGGTGCTGCAGGGAATAACTGGTATTTTGAGTAGCTTGATGTTGGAAGCACCATCTACCCTCAAGTTCTTACTATTACTGCAATAAATGGAGCTGAATGAATGATAATTTGGGAAATTTTAGGAAAATACTCTTTCATACAAAAGGTTAAGGCGGGGGTTCTCAAACTGGAGGTCACGAGGTTATTACATGGGGGGGTCACAAGCTGTCAGCCTCCACTCCAAACCCTGCTTTGCCTCCAGCATTTATAATGGTGTTAAATATATAAAAAAGTATTTTTAATTTATATGGGGGGGGTCGCACTCAGAGGCTTGCTATGTGAAAGGGGTCACCAGTACAAAAGTTTGAGAACCACTGGGTTAAGGGGAGTCCTGTCCAGTGTCTCACAATTGAAATGAACATTGCTACAATAAAGGAACTTAGTTTTTGTTAAAGCGCACTTTACCATAATACCATGAGAGAGGAGGAGGTGAAAAATGAGAACCTAAGTAGAGGACTCACTATGCCCTCACCATCCATCACCTCCAAAAATGTACCTTTAATAAATATAGTAGGCATTTTGTCCAGCGAACAATATTACATTGGAGCTATTTTCTATGCTACTTGACAACTGACTGATTCTTAATATTATCACTGGTCACACCAAACCTGCTGCATCTTTCCCCTTCATTAACTGGGGTTAAGAGGATAAGATTCCATCACTCTATCCTTTATCTACCAACTATGGTAAACCAGTTTTAGTCTAGGGCTTAAAAAGTCACATAACTTTCAATAAAGATCTGTTGCTCGCACTTGATTTTTTTTTAAATGTTCTCTATCTTTCAGATTAAAACAACTTCTATTAGTTAGTTCCTTGGTTTGTTCAGGGTATATTGTTCCCAGGATACTAAACTTCTCTATAGGCAGTCTTATAGATATATTTTCCTCCCATGCTTTGCCCCCATCCTTTGTTTCTGTGTCTCTCTCTCTCGTTCTTTGTTTCAGTCACTGTCATAAACATACAGCTAAGGGTAGCATTTAATTCCTTTTTTACCTGTAAAGGGTTAAGAAGCTCAGATAAGACGGGTTGCACTTGACCAAAAGGACCAATAAGGGGAGAAGACGCTTTCAAATCTGTGGGGGAAGGTTTTTTGTCTGTCTCTCCCAGAGTCAACAAGGAAACAGGGCAGGGAAAATACATCTCCCTAAGCCATATTTGAACTAAGCATCTAGTCTTGCAAAAATAGTAAGTAATAGCAAAGAAATGCATTAGATTACCTTTTGTTTTAGCTTGTGAATTTTCCCTGTGCTAAGAGGGAGGTTTATCCCTGTTTTTGTAACTTTAAAGTTTTGCCTAGAGGGGAAATCCTCTGTGTTTTTGAGTCTTCTGTTATTCTGTAAAGTACTTACCATCCTGATTTTACAGGGGTGATTCTTTTACCTTTTTTTTTTTTAATTAAAACTCTTCTTTTAAGAACCCGATTGATTTTTCATTGTTTGTTTCAATTGGGTTTGTGTTCACCTGTACCAATTGGTGAGGATATTATTCTCAAGCCTTCCCCAGGAAAGGGGGGGGCAGGGTTTGGGGGAATATTTTGGGGGGAATAGGACTCCAAGTGGTCCTTTCCCTGATACTTTGTCTAAATCACTTGGTGGTGGCAGCATATTGTTCAAGGCAAGGTGGAATTTGTGCCTTGGGAAAGTTTTTAACCTAAGCTGGTAAAAATAAGCTTAGGAGGTCTTTCATGCGGGTCCCCACATCTGTACCCCAGAGTTCAGAATGGGGAAGGAACCCTTGACAGTCATTTTCTATAAATGCCCCCACGTGCAAAAATCATCACTAAACACAATTGTACCTGTGCTCCTATATAAAACCACATGCCTAGCAGCAACAGAAGCAGAAATTTGGAATTGAATAAAATCAGAAAAAGCCTAGTTAGTTTCAATCTTCTGGTAAAGACATTGGTCTAATTTGTTCAATATTTTATGCTGAATATTTATTTTATGCTGAACTGACTTTCAAAGCGAGAAACCAGAAGAAATGTGATTATTCTTTAAATACTGAATCTTGAGGGGGAGGGGGGGAATTAGATAGTTACACCAGGAATCCATTAAAAGTCATGATTTTGGTAAACCCTAAGGAAGTAAATCTTCCATTTTTATTAGTAAAGTATACATCAGACATGTTAAATAGGAAGACATACATAATAAAATAAAAGGCATAACTGCCCTGGTATTGGAGATACAATGTATATATTGGGGTCCTCAAACAATTAATGTCTCCTGTTTAGATATTTGGTCTTATCTTTCTGAGATGTTTCTATTATGGTAGAAAGGAAACAGTTACAAGCTGGACAACATTATTTTTATAGTTCTTTTCTCCATATACAATCTTGGACTTTCTAGCTGAAAGACAAGGATGGGGGGGGGGAGAGATTACTAATCATTGCCCAATTAACATATAGTTTCTTATCAAGGATCTGTTGTGATAAGATTATTTGTTTCAAGTGCTATAAGGAGCCTTGAAGTGAAAAGAATATTTCCTGGGAAGGTCCCACAAGATACATATCTTGTTTTTGCAATATTCAGGGGTGTACAGTCAGACATCCTTATTCTATCATATTTCAATAAAACAAACGACAATCTAAAGGAAACAATAGATTTGATGCTTGAGGGGTTTGAAATGAATTTTTCATAGCTTCCAAAGCCAGAAGTGACCATTGTAATCATCTAGTCTGAGTGCCTGTGTTCCATATTTGTAAGCATGTGTATTTATAAATGCTTTGGGATACTGAATTAAATGCCTCCAAATACTGAGTTACCATAACTATATGGACTATCTTCATTAACAGTCACTCTTACCATTAACAATGGCCCAGATTCTGCTCTGTTATATAGGCTAAAATCCAAAATAACTCCTTTACAGACAATAGAATTTGTCTGGATTTACACTGGTAGAACAGGGCAAAATCTTGCCCAAGCTCTTCAGGGCAAGGACTGTCTCACAATGTGTTTGTACATGGCTTAGCACAGTGGAACCCTGACAAGGATCTCTGAAGCTACTGCAATACAAACGACATCCTAACACTGTGTTTTATGGTCCACCACAGTCCCTTGTCATGATGGTTTCTTTTTTCCCATTCAACCTTTCCCCCCTCTTCCCCCCACACACTTCCAATCCCCTCCCCTCAGGTCTATTGTAGTCAAGAATAATCCACTGTGAACCACTTATCCTGGACTGTTTACTTCAGAATTGGTTCCCAACGAACCCTTCTCTATCATGACACCTTATCTCCAGCTTGAAGGACACAATACATGTGCTTTTCCATAGCTGCAATCTGTGCCCTTCCCCAAATCAGAAACCATGGTCAAAAGTGATTCATTTCATAACATTCTTCTTAGACTGCATCTGTGCTGGCAGAAATTAGACATGTAATTTTTCACTAGTGCACCTCCACTGATTATAGCAATGACAGAAACTGTAGTGTGCACAGTGCAGACTGTACCGCCATATTGTCTAGCCCATTCTGAGTAGAATTACATAATATGACAACAAGAAGTTGAGAGTCCTGTCCAACATTGCTACCACTGGTTGAGCTGTGATGTGGTGACTTATAGCCACAAAGTTTGCTAATGTAAATGCAGCCCAAAACCAAAAGGTGTTATTTCTTAGTTAACTTGTTCTCCTCTAAGCTACAGCAGAAGGTTTAGAGTTTGTGCCAGTCCCAGTATACCTGCAGAGAGCACCATAAACACACTGCTAGCGGGAAGCCAACTCCTTGCAATGTAAATCATTAAGCACTAACACCCGCACTTCTTATTACACTGGTGCTGTCGTCTTATTGTTTGACTATTTCTATTTTCGCAATGGTTGCAAGTGGCAAGATGATTTATTGTTTGCCAAGCAAGAACTCCCAAGGGCAGAGCAAGCCCTTGTGAGCTGAATGCTCCTCGGCTGGAGACTAGATTAACAGCAACACTGCTGAGGCCCATATCATCAGATCACCCGCATGCCAGATATGTCAGCAAACTGCCTTTTACAATCTGAACTGCAGACATCCTTTTCCGTTTGCTGATTGATGGTCTTCCTCACAACATACCCTCCCAGTGGCCCCACTGCTAGCCTCATTCTCCAATACCTGCACGCTTCTCTTCTTTTTTCCCTTCTATCTTGCTTCCTTCCTCTTCTGATCTCACTCCCCACCCCCCGGCCGCCATTTCCCTTCATCGCACCTTGGTCCCCATATTATAAAGTAAAACAAATGTGGGACTAAAGTTGTGTGCTTACCACCACCCCAATCACTTGCTTATATGTTGTATCCCTTCCTCCCATGCTTCCTCTGTTTTTTGTCTTCTGAAACTGCCATCTTTTCAGGGTAGGGACTGACTCTTCAAGTGTCTATATGGGTGATACTGCAACATAAGTTAGTAGTAACTGTCAAGGCTGATTCCCGACTCTGGCACTTTGAGTGCAGAAGGTGGGGGCCCACAAGGATTCTAAAAATTAATACTGGCCACTCCAGGCTGGTATTAAACTCCTAAAGTTACAGCTTTTCTTTGACCTTGAATGGGTAGATGCTGCCACCACCCAAGTGCAGAACCCCTTTGAGAGCCCAGGAAGGCACACTTGGGAATTCTTTCCTGTGGGGGTACTCTCAAGCCCTTTCACTCCCCCTCCGGGGAAGAGCTGAGAAAAAAAACAAAGGAAATCAGCTGTTGCCAACAGCTAATTAAACAACATATGCACAAACCTCTTAGGACACAAAAAAAACCAATCCCGTTCTTAAAAAAAGGTAAATTTTATTAAAAACAAAAAGAAAGAAAATACATCTGGAAACTCAGGCTATTGCTAGATTAAAAAGAGCAAATATAATAATTAAGCATCAAGAATGGTTTTCTTGAGGTCCAGCTTAAAGGTTACAAGCAAAACAAAAGCTTTTGGCGGTTAGCACAGAGGAGTTCACGAGCCAATAAGAAATAAATGAAATAATCCTAATCGCATCTTCCTAGACATTCCCTGATTTACTTACATATCTGGGGTTCAAATAAGTATTCTAGGTATGATCTGATGATTTTCCATATCTGGCTTAAAGCTTCTTATAGCATTGCTGCTATGTGTCTCCTCTCTCCGGAGAACAACGGACAGACCGACCAAGGGAAAGTTTTTTCCCCCAATTTTAAAAAGTTCTAGCCCTCCCATTGGCTCTTTCGGTCAGGTGCCCACTCACTTCCCTTTACCTATGCATGCAGTCAGACTTTTTAACCCTTTACAGATAAAGCAAGTGGAGAAGAGCTACCAAGAGAGATTCTATGCTAACTGGCTGGCTGGGTGTCCACAAAAGAGAACTACCCCCCTCTCATTTATCACAGTAACAATGACAGGCTAAATGGAGACAATGGGATGTATTGGGAAGCCCAAAGGAAAGATTATCTATTATTACTCAAAGTTAAACAGATAGCTAAGACAGATAGATAGCTTAGCTGATCAGTACATACTGACAAGTAGGGCTGGTCGAAAGTTTTCTGACAGAACAATTTTCCATCAGAAAACGCTGATTTGATGGAATCAAAATGTTCCATGGGAATGTGTCTATTCCATTGAAACTTTCGGAAGAAGTCAGGCAGAATGGCAGACCAGCAGGTCAGTTCCTAAGTTCCCTCAAAGCTGCGCAGCAGCCTATTAAGCGCCGCGCAGGCACTCAGGGCTGCCGGCCCCAACCCAGCCCAGTCCCAGCCCTGCTGCGGCCCGGGGGAGAGGCGCCCCTCCCCTAGCCCCGGCCTGGGCCTACCACGGCCAGGGGAGAGAGAACTGGGGGGAATCCTCTCTCCCCGCTGTAGCCCCGAGGCAGCCTGCACCCCAAACTCCTCATTCCTGGCCCCACCCCAGAGCTCACACCCCCAGCTGGAGCCCTCACCCCCCACAACCTAACCCTCTGCCCCAGCCCTGAACTCCTCATCCTCAGCTCCACTCCAGAGTCCTCACCCCCCGCACCTCAGCCCTCTGCCCCAGCCCTGAGCCCCCTACCACACACCAAACCCTTGGCACCACCCCCGCCATATGAATTTTGTTATGTGCACCAATATGGAGGTGATGTGTCACACATTGCCTTTGTATTGGTGCACATAACAAAATTTATTCTGCACACGTGTGGGGCAAATTAGAGGGAACACTGGTCAGCTCCTCAGATCGCTACCTGCTGGCCAGCTTGCCTATTACCTAGCTCCTTGGCTGCCATGACATCATAGTAAAAATCTTTCAACCTTTATATTACATTATATAAGTCTTGTTGATTACAATGTTATAAAGTCAAAACTAAATGTTTCGACCTTATCAAACCAAAATGTTTTGACACAGTCAAAATAAAATGTCATTTGGATTCTTCCAAAATGAATTTACAGAATTTTGCTCCAATGGACATTTTGAAAAATTATTGTTACATTCCTATTCTAACTAAATTTTGGAATTTCCTACAGAAAAGGTATTCCATGTTCGAAACAGCTCTAATATTCAGTCTGCATCTTTTTGGTATCAGGGAAGCAAATCTTTTGGAGGGACTTGGATGTGAGGAGTGGTGGTTTGACAAATTGATATGGAGTGGGCATTCTAAGCACAGGGACAGAATGGAAAGGGGCATGTAAATGGAAGTGGGAGGAGGAGATGAACAGGACACATTGAGGCCACCATCATGTGAGGAGGACACAATTCTACAGTAGATCAGACACATAAGCTGATGTAAACCTATTGAAAGTAAGGTGAAAAAAGTTTAAAACTTGATGTGATGGATGAGTGGGAGTCACTGAAGGGATTCAGTGAAGGTGGCGATAAAGTCTCAGTGACAGACTAGAACATTATTTTATCAGGTGCATTTTGGCTAGATAGAAGGTGTTGATGTGAGGATTTATATAAACAAAACACTATTTTATTGTAGAAAAAGTGACTGTATAATGTACAAATATCCTTTGCCTGGGGGATTCGCAGTGAGATGGATGAACCTGATAATCAAAAAGCTATTTTCTCATCTCTAACTTACTTTAAACTCACATCTGTTGTTGGTGTGATATTAAAGCGGTTGTGAAATGGTCACTGTCCCAGGGTTCTTCCCATCCCCCACTCCTACAGAGATCTTATGACAGGATGAGGACTTCACCACAGGCAATAAACCTCTCTTGTGAGGGGATGGGGAGGTGAGCAGGAGGGAAGAGGTGTGCCAGGCATTCAGCTACAAGGTACTAGAAATCCTAACAAAGTTCTAGCAACCATCTGCTTCCCAGCCTCAAATACAAATCATGTTCCCCCTATGTACTACTACAAGGGTTCTCAATCTTTTTCTTTCTGGGGCCCCCTCCCCCAACATGCTATAAAATCTCCATGGCCCAGCTATGCCACAACTGTTTTCCTGCATATAAATGCCAGGGCCTGCAGTAGGGGGTAGCAGGGAGAGCAATTGCCTTAGGCCCCCCTACTATAGGGGGAACTGCAAAGCTAAGTTGCTCAGACTTCAGCTTCAGCCTGGGGTAGCGGGACTTGGGGCCGAGGGCTGCAATCCCATGTGGCAAGTCTTCAGTTTTCTGTCCTGGGCCCTAGCGAGTCTAATGCCAGCCATGCTTGGCAGACCACCTGAAACCTGCTCGCAGACCCCCGGGTGCCCCAGACTGCGAACCGCTGTATTACTACACACCGCCCCAAGGGCTCACTCCCAGGAGGGAAACCAACCACAGACAAGGTTCATCCAGCAGGCAGAGCTGGGGGCCTGCTGCATCCAAACCCAGGGACAGACCACCTCCATTTCCCCAAAAGAGAGACAGTCCCACACACGGCCCTCTCGCAGCAGAGAGGGTCCCCCTGTCCCCTTAAAAGAGACACAGCCCCCTCCCCCACGCCAGTGACAGGGTCCCAGACACAGCCCCCCCACCCCAGAGACACTGCCCCCCACCCATCCAGACACAGAGCTCCCCCGCCTGCCCTAGAGACACCCTCCCATCTCATTAAAGGCACAGCCCCAAGACAGAGCCCCCCGCCTCATTAGAGACACAGCCTCCCCCCCCCCGCACCAGGAGGGCCAGGGCCATGGCCCCCTTCTCCCGGGGACCGACAACCACGCCGCGGGGAGGCCGTGGCCGGGCGCCGTACCGCCAGCACGGTGAGCAGGGTGGTCTTGCCCGAGTACTGCAGCCCCACCAGGGTGAGCTCCATCTCCTCCTTCCAGAACAGCGAGCGCAGCCACTCCAGCAGCCGGGCCACCAGCGTCAGCATCCCGGCCAGCGCCCCCGACCCGCCTCCCAGCTCTGGCGGCTCAGCGGCGCTCAGGCGGCCGGCGCGGGGCAGCGGCTCCGGGTCTCGGCGGTGGCGGCTGCGCTGGGGACAGCACCGGGGTCGGAGCAGCTGAGCGGGGAGCCGCACGTGATCCCAGCCACCGCCCTTCTCCCAAGGCTGCCGCTGGCTGAGTCGCCGCAGACTGGGAGGGGCTCGGGACGGAGCGGCCGGGCGGGTCTCAGCGGCACGTGGGCTGCGGGAAAGGGGGGACGAGCCTGGGGGTGATAGGCTGGGCCCCCGCGGGGGTGTCACTGAGGGGCGGGGAGTCACGTGGTGGTGAGAGGCTGGGCCCCCGCGAGGGTGTCAGTGAGGGGCAGGGCCGTGGTGTCACGTGAGAGGCGGGGATCACATGAGGGCTGACAGGGTGGGTCCTGGGGGGAGGAGGGTCATTGAGCGGTGGGGATTACGTGAGGTGTCATAGGGTGGGTGTCACTGAGGGGCTGGACGGAGGGGGTCACATGAGGGGTGATAGGCTGGGTCCCTTCAAGGTAGGGTTGCCAAGTTTGGTTTGATGTATTCCTGGAGGTTTCATCACATGACATAATCATTAATTAAAAATTAATTTTTAATTCCTGGAGGCTCCAGGACAGTCCTGAAGGGTTGGTAACCCTACTTCAAGGGGTTTATTACTGAAGGGTGGGAGGGTCACATAAGGAGCAAAAAAGTGGATCCTTACAGGGTGGGCCCTGACTGAGTGATAGGGATCACAGCTGGGCCTGAGGGGTGGGGGAATCATGAGGGTTGACAAGGTGGGTCTTCATGGAGGGTTACTGAGGGGCAAGGCACTGGCCCTGTATAGGGTGTTGTGCAGGGGAAGCAAAGCTTAGTGCTTGGGGTCTTGTGGCACTAGCCTGGTTCTTGGGAGAATCAAGGTTCAGGTCCCCACTCTGCCATTGATTTCCTGTGTGACCTTAGGCAAGTCACTTAGCCCCTCTGTGCCTCAGTTTCCCATCTGTACAATGGGGATTGCAGACCTGCCCTGCCTCACAAAATAGTGGGAGAATCAATACATTAACATTGTAAAGCACTCAGATATTACAGTGATAGGGGCCAGAGAAGTACCTAAGATAGACAAGGCTGGTGCAGTGCGGGAAAGGGAGATGTGATGTGACAGGTGATGGCCTAGGGTCCATGCAGGGGGCATCATCTTTAGGTGTTGGGGTCAGTTTACAGTGAAAAACCTCGCCCCTCTGTCAGTAATGCCAGCCTCCATGCCCCCCTCATCCACATCTCCTATAGCCAGCGGAATGCCTTTTCCCATACTACCCCTTACCTAGAGAACAGTTGTTCAATTCTGGTCACTAGGCCCTAACCTCTCATTTAAATTCTTTGTTGAGACTCATGTTTTCATGATACCCATTTGAAATGACATGCTAACCTGTGGTTAACCAGATGTTAATGCCTATAGAGTGGATTTTCACTATCACAAGGAACTTCCTTTTGTTTGCAACTGATAAGGAAGCACACTAATACTCACCATGTTATTTTGACTCATAGTATTGCACAAAACCTTATATTTCCCCTATATATACACACACAAGACATATCACACACTGAATCTGAGTGCATACGTCAACCTGAAATTATTTGTGAATGTCGCTGAAGTTATAATTAAAGTTCTGCATTATACAGAGGGAGATTACTGGGTTGTGTGTCATTTCCTCGCTTGTTAGAAGCAGAAGAAAATTCCTTTTGACAATGCATCTGTCATTGACAGTAGAAACGTTGTGTGGCACTATGATATGGTTGAAATGTCCCATAATTTGGAATTTCCTTGCTTTCTAGGGTTTGGGGATATATCACACAGTCTTAATTATGTTTATTACCATAATGCATAGGGGACAACAATAAAAAAAAACAAGGTGGACAGTGCCTGGCACAATGGGAAACAGAGTGGTAGACAGTCTTTACCCTGCAGAGCTCAATATCTAAACAGACAAAATAGGGAAAGAGGATATAGCATGCAAGCAGAGAGAACAGCATAATGGCCTGCAAATGTCATGTTTTAGTTGTTCCATGAGTTTTCTTTAAAAAATAATGTTAAAGATGGAATTTAGTTAGGGGGTAACTAAGCTGAATGGAAAGAGGACATTGAAGGGAGGTGGATGAGGGTATGAAGGGCAAGTATGATGTGAAGCTGTGGTGAAGAGATGGAGAGCAGTGGCACAAGGCAGGGGAGGGAAACAAACAGCCAGTCACATATGGCAGAAAATGTCCTGTCAAAATTGGATAAAAACTCTGATGGGATCAGTTTCAAATGATTGCTGCTAATCCCTTTTCAACAGTTTTTTTTTATGGCATTTCTATTTATGAAATGTAATTGCCTCACCAAGATGTGCACATGGTCAAATTGACTATCTGTGTGATCTGTGACAAAGTTCCTCCTCTATCTTGGTGGGTCCTGTGCTTATTGGCAGATTTTCTTGCCTCAGAGATTCACCATGTGGGTTGGGGAACAGCCCAGAGACCTTCCCCTCTGGAAGAACCCACAGTCCAGGTCAATTGGGAGGTTTGGGGGGAACCCAGGCCTGCCCTCTACTCCAGGTTCCAGCCCAGGGCTCTGTGGACTGCAGCTGTCTATAGTGCCTCCTGTAACTGCTGCATGACAGCTACAACTCCCTGGGCTACTTCCCCATGGCCTCCTCCAAACACCTTCCTTATTCTCACCACAGGATATTCCTCCTGGTGTCTGATAACACTTGTGCTCCTCAGTCCTCCAGCAGCACACCCTCACACTCCCAGTGCAAACTGAAGTGAGCGCCTTTTAAAACCCAGGTGCCCTGATTAGCCTGCCTTAATTGATTCTAGCTTCTTCTTCTTAATTGGCTCCAGGTGTCCTAATTAGCCTGCCTGGCTTAACTGGTTCTAGCAGGTTCCTGATTACTCTAGTACAGCCCCTGCTCTGGTCACTCAGGGAACAGAAAACTACTCATCCAGTGACCAGTATATTTGCCCTCTACCAGACTCCTGTACCCTACTGGTCTGGGTCTGTCACAGATCTTATTGCTGAATCTCTGACCCCCACCACCTCCCTACTCATTGAGACTATCACTTATCATGTCGTGTCTACATTTACATTTTGTACACCCCCAGGGGCGGAGACCTTTGTAGTGTATATCACCTAGCAGGCTTTACATACTGCAACAATAATAAATACTACCACTACTACATCTTTTCCTATTCACAGCAGAGACAGGTCATATGAAATACCACCAATCCAGTTTACAGGAATGGTTTGTGTGGAATGCAGAGGTTATGATTCATGGATATATAACCTGCAAAGTGCAGTGGTTTCAGTTTGCAGGTGGGCTCATTTGAAAAACTACCATTTTTGTTCAAAGAGGTCATATAAAATTCTACAGGCCACTTTCCTCAGATCCCACTGAGGAATACACTAAGAAACTACACCATCTACTCAGGACACTCCCTACACTAACACAGGAACAAATCAACATACCCTTAGAGCCCCAACCGGGGTTATTCTATCTACTACCCAAGATCCACAAACCTGGAAATCCTGGATGCCCCATCATCTCAGGCATTGGCACTCTCACTGAAGGACTGTCTGGATATGTGGTCTCCCTACTCAGACCCTACGCCACCAGCACTCCCAGCTATCTCCGTGACACCACTGATTTCCTGAGAAAACTACAATGCATTGGTGACCTCCCAGAAAACATCATCCTAGCCACCATGTATGTAGAGGCTCTCTACACAAACATCCCACACACAGATGGAATACAAGCTGTCAGGAACAGTATCCCTGATGATGACACAGCACAACTTGTTGCTGAGCTCTGTGACTTTATCCTCACGCACAATTATTTCAAATTTGGTGACAATATATACCTCCAGACCAGTGGCACCGCTATGGGTACCCGCATGGCCCCACAATATGCCAACATTTTTATGGCTGACTTGGAACAACGTTTCCTCAGCTCTCGTCCACTCACGCCCCTTCTCTACCTACACTACATTGATGACATCTTCATCATCTGGACCCATGGGAAGGAGACCCTGGAAGAATTCCACCATGATTTTAACAGCTTCCACCCCACCATCAACCTCAGCCTGGACCAATCTACATGTGAGGTCCACTTCCTAGACACCACAGTACAAATAAGCGATGGCCACGTTAACACCACCCTATACCGAAAACCCACCGACCGCTATGCCTACCTTCATGCCTCCAGCTTCCACCCCGGATACACCACACGATCCATTGTCTACAGCCAAGCGCTGAGGTACAACCACATCTGCTCCAACCCCTCAGACAGAGACCAACACCTACAAGATCTTCACCAAGCCTTCTCAAAACTACGATACCCACACAAGGAAATAAAGAAACAGATCAACAGAGCCAGACATGTACCCAGAAGCCTCCTGCTACAAGACAGGCCCAAAAAAGAAACCAACAGAACTCCACTGGCCATCACCTACAGTCCTCAGCTTAAACCTCTCCAACGCATCATCAGTGATCTACAACCCATCCTGGACAATGATCCCTCACTTTCACAGACCTTGGGAGGCAGGCCAGTCCTCACCCACAGACAACCCGCCAACCTTAAGCATATTCTCACCAGCAACCACACACTGCACCATAACAACTCTAACTCAGGAACCAACCCATGCAACAAACCTCAGTGCCAACTCTGCCCACATATCTACACCAGCAACACCATCACAGGACCTAACCAGATCAGCTACAACATCACCGGCTCATTCACCTGCATGTCCACCAATGTTATATATGCCATCATGTGCCAGCAATGCCCCTCTGCTATGTACATTGGCCAAATTGGACAGTCACTACGCAAGAGGATAAATGGACACAAGTCAGATATCAGGAATGGCAATATACAAAAACCTGTAGGAGAACACTTCAACCTCCCTGCCACACAATAGCAGATGTAAAGGTAGCCATCTTACAGCAAAAAAACTTCAGGACCAGACTCCAAAGAGAAACTGCTGAGCTCCAGTTCATTTTGCAAATTTGACACCATCAGATCAGGATTAAACAAAGACTGTGAATGGCTATCCAACTACAGCAGCAGTTTCTCCTCCCTTGGTGTTCACACCTCAACTGCTAGCAGAGCACCTCACCCTCCCTGATTGAACTAACCTCGTTATCTCCATA